CACTGAGTTCAGAGAGTACCAGAGACCCCACAATGAGTCCCACAGAAATTGGTATTTTTGAAGGATGAAGGGCTGCAGGCTAAGTATAGCTATGTCATGGATCTTTCGAGGGGATTCTTTATTTGTACATTGTGATATTCTATTCCCCACTTGAAAATAGCAGAATCTGCCATCAGTTTTCAATAGCTATGCTCGGAGAGACACCAAGGACTGCCACAGTGAGACTTGAAGGTCACAGGCCCATCCCAATCATAAGTATATAATATTGTCCATTTCTATATAGGAGACCTATATGTTGTTTTAATCAATTGCCTTTCTGTCCTGTCTGGTATTATTAAGTGCCCTGATCTTCCTATTGTATAGAAAGCTATATGTCAGTGAGACTGAACTCATGTGCTTCTAATTTAGATCCTTCTTATGAAGAGAATGCTGTAAAGATTTTTTTTTTTTTTAAATCATTGTACACGTTACATGCCACTGTTCCATCATTTTTGAGATTTTGATAGTCATGCCATTTGTTTATTCTCTGCAGAGGGTTTTGACGGATATGAAAAATATTTTTTTTTTGTTTCTATATTAGGCCTTTCTTAGAAAAATAACTTCAATTTTTAGCTGAACCATAATCTCTATTTCATTTTTTTTGTACCAGATTAATGCAGAAACATTATGGAATGGGCAGAGCATGGCTGAAATGTTATCATTAATTACTTTTCTTCTATGTTTTTAATCATGATTTTGAAGACCATACAATCTTTGCTACTATAATTACTTGGTTTTTTTTTAATCCATCCATTCTCTAAACAGAAAGATATTTGCAAATTCAAGTAAAAAGCATATAAAATTCATAAGGAAAATGCAATGTTTCACTTTCCTGAAACAAAGCAAGATTTCTTTGGCCCTTTGATCCCCATAAACAAAAAAGAAATTCTTTTTTCTTTCTTCTTAAAATAATCCGTGTCCATTGTAAGGTAAAATAAGAAGAAATGACTGCCAATTGGAAGATTCTTGAAATATGATGCAAAAATTATATAAAAGGAGCAGTAAGAAAAAGAAAAGAATGCCATGTATATTTGTGGCAACTGGCATTTATGGGATTATAAATTTCCATGGCAACTGATGCTTTCATTTTATATTTGCTCATTTCAGAAACAACACAGACACTGATGATAAAACTTAATCATACTTTTGCATGACCAATGAAGGAAGTAAAAGTTTGGCTGAACCTACTGGGCTGTCTCTGGTTCTCTAGCACAGTCAACAATAGCTTGCAACAGATCCAAATATTAACAAAATCTGCTCTGCAATTTAGACTTGAGATCACCAGGAAGAACCTGAATGCTTTTATATGCCTGAATAGCCACTCTACATTTATGGAAAGTGAATTGACAGAAATTATATTTACCTGCCAGCCCATAATATTAATAGTACATTTGAAATTTACTGTGTATGGCCCTTCAGGGTTGTCTGCAATAAACACATTCTGTAAGGAAGAGCAACTTGCTCATTGTAACATGAGCGCTTCTATTCATATAGAACACGGGTGTCAAACTCGCCACGTCACGTGACATGTCACAACATGTCGTGACTTTTTTTGCATTGCCGGAGCTGGGGTGGGCGTGGCCTCCGTATGATGGAACTGGCCCACGGGCCGGCAATTTGACACCCTTGATATAGAACAATCAGCTGCAGCCAATTCAAATATGTGTATAAATATTAAAATAGCAGTATGTTTTTAAGCGACAGATGATTGGCAGCCATATTGTTCTTCTCACACTTATCGTAGGAAAAAACTACGAGGGGGGAAACCAAATTTCTCAGCAGAAGCTTTGCAGAGGGAGGCAGATTATTTTTCTATTGGCCCAGAAAAACTGCTCAGTTTGACTCCTGGCTGGTGACCCTCCCTCTCCCTTCATTTCCTGCGGAAGCAAATCTATAGTAGCTTTCTGTTAGCCATACCATGATTTTTAATTGATCAAAGAAATAGGATTCTGATAGCTTACAGCTCTCCCTTGTTGTTGATGCTCAGACTTGTCTCCGTGGTACAGTGATGACAAACCCCCCTGACGTGTGTCAAAGGTGACACATCATGACATTTTGGTTTATATGCCAGCATTCACTAACATATAACAACAAATATTCTCAAAAACATACTCCATTCTTACACAATTTTCGGAGACTGCAGAGGCTGCGCAAGAACAGGACGTGCTCATCCATGGCCTCCAGACCCTCTGAAAATCACGTGACATAGCCATGTCTTTGGAGCCTCCCAAAATTGCATGAGAACAGGACATGCTTTTATGTGGTTTTTGGAGGCTGCAGAGGCTCCAAAGCTGCTTCATGATCGAAGGCCTTGTGTGTCCCAGAGCAACCTGGGATAGGCCTGTCAACAGAAAGAAAACATGGCCTAAGGGTAGGTGGCGCATGGCAGATCCTAGGGAGTAGCAGGCCATGGATGCAATCACACCATTCCCAAGGTTGTGCTTCTTGGGGAATGACGTGAGGCAGCCTTTTAAGTGGCAGCAGTGGTGCTAGGGCTGAACCCAAGACCCAGCTTTTTTTCAGGCCTTGATGCTACCCTCGATTGCAACTGTTCAGGGTGGCCTAGATAGTGTTGGGGAGATAAATTGTTTTTTCTTATGTTGGGTGGAGGGGCTCCAGCGGAATCAAGTTAGGCATTTTCTGAAATTGTAATAATAATAATAATAATAATAATAATAATAATAATAATAATAATAATAATAATAATAATAATAATAATAATAATAATAATAATAATAATAATAATAATAATAATAATAATAATAATAATAATAAAGTTGGAAGAGACCTTGGAGGTCATCGAGTCCAACCCCCTGCTCAGGCAGGAAACTCTACACCAAGCCGAAAAGATTCACCATCACTGCCATAATTAAAATGCATAAAGGTGTGGTTGAGTTTCACTTTTTGCACTCTCTTATTAATCAGCTGAAAGGCAAAGTGGTTGATGTGGTTTTCTTAGCATTTTGAAAATGGTGGTGAAGATGACCACAGGTCAATTTGAAATAATTTCTAAGACTCTGGAGAGTGAAAATATACTCTATCTTCATTCAACTCAAATTTATCATACCTGCTGCACCATTTATAAATTGGATAAACTGGAGTATTTTTTAAATATTTAGTTAGTTAGTTGCCTGTTTACACATTACACATTAGATAAGTATTTTCTAATTCATTGGTTGCAATGTTCTTCCAGAACTTCACAAAAGCAGTGGTTGTTCCACTTCTTTCAGTTGTCTTTTCTTCTCCATATGGAGATAAACCTTGTAGATGCACTTGAAGCATCCATTACTAACTTCGGACCAAGTGGTACATTTATTGCTCACGTTAGTCCTGTTTGGGATCAAAACTGAGCAGTTCTTTGGTCTACAGTCAGGGATACACCGAAGGAAGATCTCAAGTGTGCAACCTTACATACTAGGCTTTGGTTGTGCAATAGCCCTGAGTAACTTGCAGAATTTTATGTAGTGATCCTAAATGCAGTGGGGGGGTTTTCCATTTGTAACCTTCCAGTGTTTTTCCTATTGCTTCCTTCTTCTTTTTTCTTTCTTTTTCATTTTCTTTACTACTGTACAGTAAGGAAAGGAGATTGGTAATAAGGGAAGTCATCCATAATGTAGTATGGGGTGTGTGGGTATGTATGGGTGAAGGAGTGTTTAGGGATGGGAAGTATAGACTATCCATGTGTCTGGGCTCCAGGAGTAGAAGTTTTGTATTTGCATTGTTTTCCAAAGCAAAGCAGAAAGGGCTTTGCAGAGAACCAAGGTTGCTTCTTTTCTGTGATTGGGCAGGTACTGTACATTCTTTATTATAATTTATAAAATGGCATCTAATACAAGTCCATATGCTACAGAAATGCTAGAGGAGGAGTACGAACTCAGTAAAAACGCATTCAAAGCAATATGACTCACTGGCTGGAGAAGAAACTAAAATGTTCTCGTTATATTTATTAAGAAAAACCATGTTACTTGACTGATTGTCTTTCTAGGGCTTTGCTGTTGTTGCTGTCATGTCTCTTTCACTGAGCTACGTACTGAAATGTTTTAAATAGTTAAATAACAAATGTGATCCTGTTTTTTGAAAGCCATTCTATACACAGTATAGAAAGAAACAGGAGCAGTATTTGCAGAATTCTAGTCTGTTCCAATTAAACCCCAGGGAAAGCGTTTGGACCAATCTTGGAATCTCCCCTCCAGATACAAGAAAAATGTTTCATAGTGTACAACATGTAAGTTTTATGTGCAGAGAATAACTCTCAAAACAAGATGGCAGCTTGTCTTGCAGTCTGAAGTGCTATAATGTCAGCCCTCAGAGATAGATCAGGCTTTAACACCAAAGTCATGAATGGCAAAGCTACTTTTATTACAGAGTTGTAGTAATATAACTTTGCAATCCTGAATGTGTCTCTCCCCTCCCTCCCTTTATCCTTAGTAGAAGTTGGATGGGGTCCAATCTGAGAGGTTTTGTCTAACTCCATTCCTGCTTTGGACTGAGATTTCTCTTATCTGACTGTTGCCTTGGCTGTGTCTCTTCTTCCTTAAAGTTATTCCCACAGCCCATTACATCTACTCTATTCTTTCACTCTCCATGTGCTACTTCATTCCTCCTTTTGTGGAGTAAAGGCTGTGAAATATCTTGTAATACCAGTTATACACATTTCACAGTGGGACCTATTCTCAGGCAAATGAAGCCTTAATGTATACATTTGCTTTAAGGATGTAAGCTACTGTTGTGGATAATATTATTGTTGCTGTTGCTGCTGTTTTTGCATGCTGTATATACATTTTAAAAAAGCTGTCAGATCAATTAAAGTAAAAGTATATTGTGGAATATACAGAGAATCACCCAGTTAACAAGATTCTTTATAAAAAAATGTATATTCATGGTCTTTGGATTGAATATGTATGCTTTCTGCCTAGGTGTATGAATGTGTAACTTTTCCTTCTTTTTCTCTCTCTCTGCAGACCTTTGTAGTACTAAACAGAGGCAAAACACTCTTCCGATTTAGTGCCACGCCTGCCTTGTACATTTTAAGTCCTGTGAACCTGCTTAGGAGAATAGCTATTAAAATTTTGATACATTCATATCCTTTTCATTGTAATGCATACCACTTATTCTGAAGTCATTATTTCCTGTTTTGCAGGATTGATGTGCTGCCTTAAAAAAGCATTATTTGTGTTTTAAAACAAATTTTATAGAAATAGCCTGGGCTTGGAGAGATTGAAGTTTCCCTAAACAACTGTAAGAGTAGGTGAACGAAAGTGTATTTATTAGGGATGATGTTAGGGAATGTATGTACAAGATATGCCCATAGATTTGAATACAGGCAGTCTTTGACTTAAGACCATTCATTCAACAACTGTTTAGAGTACTGAAAAAAGTAACTTACCACCAGTCCTTATACTTACAACTGTCACAATGTCATCATGGTCACGTGATCAAAATTTGTACATTTGGCAATCAACATGGTTTATGATAGTTGCAGCATCCCGGGGTCACATGATTGCCATTTGCCACCTTCCCAGATAATTTCTGACAAGCAACGGGAGAACCCAGGTTTACTTAATTATGGTTGTGATTCACTTAATGACTGGGACAAAAAAGGTCATAAAATCAAGTGGAATTCACTTACCTGTGACTGGTATTCTGCGAGAAGTGCCTGCTATCAAGCAGAACTCACACTAGAGAAAACATAAAAATGCTACTGTTTTCTCCTGTTCTCTATGTCAGCCAGTGCATCTGCTCAGCCCATGGATTAAATACATCCCAGTGCATTCTATATATCTCCATATTCAGATGCCACAGGAACTAGAGAGGGAGGCTGGGAGAGAGAGAGAGAGAGAGAGAGAGAGAGAGAGAGAGAGAGAGAGAGAGAGAGAGAGAGAGAGAGAGAGAGATGGGGAATATGGAATCTAAATATAACATGAATCAAATTATTAATTTCAAAAGAGAGATGCATATTAATTCTAAATGAGTGGTATTGCCTTTCTGTGTGAGTCCATAAACAGTCGATACAACAATCTTGCAATTAAGGTATATTTCTCAAATCTAAAAGCTGACTAGTCAGAGTTCATCTTTTCCAACTGTACTGTTTCTATGTATGTAGAGAAATGCACCCATAAGATTTGGGATGTTGTCTGATTAAGTATATGATGTCATTTATTCAAAATCATTCATTTTGCCTATTTTACTGACTGGGCCTTGATTGTGATAGTTTTTCTGGGTCTAATTCAGTTTTTATCACTTCCTCTTTTTCTTCCCAGTGAACTGGCAGGCCTCTTTTTAGATCTTCTCATCTGCCTGCAGCAACTGCCTGAGAAATTAATAGCAGCATACAATTGCCCTAAATCAGGGGTGTCAAACTCGCAACGTCATGTGACGTGTTGCGACGTATCGTGGCTTTTTTTCCATTGCCGGCAATGGGTTGGGCACAGTTTCGCCATGACGCATCCGGCCCACAGGCCGGCAGTTTAACACCCCTGCCCTAAATAGACCTGGATACTCAATTGTCCTTATTTTCACTTTTGCAACCATATTAGAAACTCCCCAAACCAATTCAATTTAAAGCACATGGAATACCCTTTATACTAAATCACAATGTGATTGATTTGTTTCTATTAGCATGAGGCATGAATGAGGCTAGTAAATAAAATGTGGTTCTATAATCACATGATTTGGAGTTTCCTGATTTGCTTTGGGTTCCAGCCAAGCCTCTGTTCAACCCAAAAAGGTGCAAAGCAAAAGCACTTTAAAAAAGCATGAGAGAAAACAAAACAGGAATTGGTCAAATAAAACCAGGATTATTTTGGTTGTTTGCAAAATTATTAGTGATTTGTTTGGAACCATTTTTACTTATAGATCCAGATCTTTATATGTTATAGTTTGAGCATTTTAACATTAAATGCTAAATAATGTGTTGAAAATGGTGGTGGGGGTTTTTCAGGACATTTTCTATCCCCTTTATCCGTTTGAAACTTTCTTACCTCCACTTCTTGTTAAGCTTTTTGCCAAAAGTTTTTTAAATGGTTGAAACTCTTTTTTTCCTTTTTAATCCAGAAAAAAAAGGTTGACTCACTAAGTAGAATTTTCTTATCCTTCTACTCAAAAAGTCTTTGTTTAGCTATAAATGATTACATCTAAAAGTGTTGAAGAAATGAGGCTTGTCAAACCTTGTGTCTATACAGGCTGCTTTACAGTTGTGACTTCCAGCAGCTCAATTTACAAGCCAACTATAAAAACCTCAGTTCCTGCAGTTTTCTCATGAGGAGTAGCTGTCCAAAATGCAAGTGGGTGATCTCACAATCTCTCCTTTATCCAGAAAGACTGCACCAGCTAGAATTCAGCAACCTGCCACCAATCACCACTGCAATGCTATCCCTGTTCCTTCAGGGACATCTAGTCTACAATAAATCCTCAACAGAAGACTAGAACATTTTCTCATTTGAGGTGGTATCAGTTTGAAATATGAATATGAAACCATCACTGGGTAGCATATGCAGTAGTCCAAATCAGATAGGCTTCTTTTTTAACATTCATATGTGGAAGGGATTCTTTTTTATTTATTCCTTAAGCAAGGAAATGTCCTAAATGTGTATGTATATTTTGCAACCAGGGTAGGCAACAGTTGCACTCCTGATGTTGCTAAAATATTGGACCCATTGGCAGAGGTTTCTAGGGACCGTTGGAGTTATAGCTAAGCAGTTTCAGGAATGACAAGTTTTTTCTAAAGACTTACGCTGGATCATTTTCAAAAAAGTTGGAGGTTCTTGATAAATGAACGAATTAATGAATTGATAAATGAACTGATAAATGAATTAGTGGAATTTAATGGAGCCTAAATAATTAATGAATTAATGTTATGGCCCTCCATGGACTGAAAACCATTATGATTGGTCATTTCTGGATGTCCATATTCTGCATCTAATTATGAGAAACCTATGTGTCCTCAGTAAACTGATCATAATTCAATGCAATTGCAGTACAAGTGAATTGAATTCCAGTGAAGGTTCCCAAAGCACTCCTCTGTTCTCATGTGGATGGGTCCAGTATAATCTAAACTGCAAAAAGGTGTAAATCCTTCTCAAGCCAAAGTCAAAACTAGGCCTATTGCCATATTTGTTATCAGGAAAGTTTTAAATCTACACTTTATTATTGCTAACTATTACTTGGAAAAAATTGTTTGATTTTTCTACCCAGATTTAAACAAGTGAGATGTACCATCAGCTTGATGTTCGTTTGTTAATGTCAATAAGAAATTTCTTATCTTTTCTGCTTCCTTGACTTTGTTTTACAGTATTTAGCATGATCATTATGTGCACTATTTTGACGAACTGTGTGTTCATGACTTTTAGTAACCCACCAGAATGGTCGAAACAGGTGGAGTAAGTAATAATATTTTTGTTTGTTTCACTTTGATTGTTTACAATGTCTAACAATTCTTTAAAGTAATAGTTGCCAATTTTTGAAGGAAAAATGTGCCATATATAAACTCCTGGCCCAATATGGTTTATAATATCAAGCTGGGAGTTAATTGAACATGTTCTCACTCTTGTCATAAATGTCTCTCAAAAGAAAGGCAGGATGCCTTCTGTTTAAAATAGATAATTATTAGATTTACTTTTTTTAGTCTGTATTGAATCTCTCCAGGATGGATAATTTTAGAAAGTCTTTAATGTTGCTTGGTTAGGCAACATAATTGAGAGGGTTTTGACTTCTCAGCTTCAGGTACTTCTTGTACAAATATATTAACTAGATCTCCTTTCAAACAGGATTAATAGGTTGAGAGGACATGAATAGGCTTGATGGCTTTTTGTCTAGATTAGAATCTGATAATGGGGCTGTTTATTTTTGGGGGGTCAGAAATGGCTTTCAGTAACAACAATGGTGCCAAGCAGATCATAATAGGCATTGTTATTTGAATCTTAGATTATGGTGCATGGAGTCTGCTGGGGATATGGAGTTCTTACAATGCATCCACTCTCCAAAGATTTTCCACTTTATATAAAACCACTGGAGAAAATCACCAGGAAAGCTGATCCATGATGGTGTTGATATGCTTTTTTTTTTTTACCACCTGATTGGGAAATGACAAAACCTCTCCAAATGCCTACCTTCAGGCATTCATTGATTGAAGGAGAGATAATAAATTAAAACTGAGACCTTATCTTAAATGTCTTAGGCCTGGATTATCTAAGGGAACACTAACTTTTAGAATGATCAACCTTGGCAACTTTAAGATGTGTAGACTCCAACTCTCAGAATTCTCCAGCTGGTATGCTGGCTGAAGAATTCTGGCAGTTGAAGTTCATGCATCTTAAAGTTGCCAAAGTTGAGAAACACTGTACTAGATTATGTCCACCTAGCAATGCCTGAGGTCTGGAATGCACTGGAATGCACTGGAATGCACTCACTTTTGAAATCTGTAAAGGATTGTTTTTAATCCTTTAAAAACTCAAAGGCATGTTTTCAAGGATTTTTAAATAGGGATTAAGATAAGTTGAATAGTATTATTTGCATGCTTTATCCTTGTTAATTGGTAGCCTATGTATGTTTAAACAAAATAATTAATGACTTATGTTTGCATGCATCAACAAGGAAAACATTCTTTAAATTTCTATTTATTATGAATGAGCAACCATGTTTATTATGCAGTGTGATCACTCTATGTTAATTCTTCCTGACAGTGGGAACAGCTAAAAAAACAACCTGAGTGGTTCCATCTGTGATTTGTTTAGCTTATGTATGAACAGGATATATCATGTATTTCTGTCTTAAGCCTCAATCTTAAGGCAAAAATATATTTTATTGTATTTATTGATCTATATACCTGCCCATCTCTGGGTGGATTGCCAGTGTTGTAAATCTTGACTTATAACTTTTGGGAGGTGGTGGAGGAACCAGGATCCTGGGTTGCACTGTAATGCTAAAGAAGATACTGATGAAGCGATCCAGGATTTATTTATTTTTTACCCATTTCTGTTGCCAGAAAGCACAAACAAATATTTTCAACAAGATGCCTAAAGTCAAAATTCTAAAAAAAATGTAGTTTATTGTTGGTACTAATGCCATTCCAATGCATGAGATTTGTGTGCATATATTTACACATAACTATTTACATACATACATACATACATACATACATACATACA